CTCTACATTATTTTTATTCCACTTACAACGATTTTTTAAAAATCGAAATGATAGAATTTAATAATTCGTTTGGTTAGTAGTAAAGAGATAAGCCAGTAATTTTCTTTTAGTACTTCGTGAATTCTATTTTGTCACAAACTACATAACAGAGGGGCTAATGGAGGGTACACATGCACAATGGTACTAGGTACGCACTTCGGTATTTGAAGCGATGCCGAAAAACAAGCGCTATATTTTCAAAAGGGGAATTCCAAAAGAATTGAACTTTAAGAATACCAGGCAGAATAATGTGTGGGATTTAGGTGCAGGGCCTGTACAACAGTGTTTTAATTGCACATCATGGGTTAACATGATCAAATTGTGCATGAACAAAAATCCAATCACATACAAACTCTATTGATCTGCAACAGACCTGAAAAGTGTTTTGTCCCTTTCCAAACAATGTACATTTTTCCTTTCCTGATGGAATCATAGATAATAAAGTACAGTAACCCTGTACTGAGACGCAAAATACATCATGTAAGAGGGAAATAATCAAGAGCAGAAGGCTGTAAACTACTACCATTGGTATTTGGCAAAAGAGAAATTTGGTAAACGCATATGGGCAGCCTTTCATCGTGGTTGAAAATTGATTTAAAACACAAACCTATAATCTGATCACCTATACCTCGGTCACTGTCAAACGTTGTCGTATATTCATAATCATACTGGCTCAATAACCTGTTCCATTTTCCAAATTGTTGAACGGGTTCTCGTCGGTTACAGAGCTAGAAATGTTATCTTTACCGTACCATAGCAAGCCATCGTAAAATCTCTCTGACAAGTACTGCTTTTCATCCCCCAAATGTTCTCATATATAATGGTATCTATGCAGGCACGCACACAGGGGGGGGGGTTTAAACCCCCTTGGTATTTTTATGTATATAACCCCCCCCCCATCACCCCCCATCACCCCCATCAATCCCCGTAACCCCCCCCCGTGGATTTTTTTTATTCCCATAGCTAACCTAAAAAGGTGACCTTACCCCCCCCCCCCAACGGAGCCAAATGTCAAATTCTTCAAATTTCGAGACAAAAAGAGACCCCAAAAAAAAGTGTCCTCTTACCCCCCCCCCCCTTGAAAAAAATCCTGCGTACACGCCTGTATCTATGCCATTGGTTGAATATATAAAATGTTTAACGCTCCTGTTTTGTATTCATCCCTCTCTACATTTTATTCAACCTTTTTTTCTCGAAATGATAGAGTTCAAAAGTTTTTTTGGGGCTAGTTGTAAAGAGATAAGCAAGGGAGTCTCTTTCACTTCGTGAATTCTATTTTGTCACAAACTGAATAACATAGAGTTGTGGTTCAAGCGCGTAGCCAGGATTTAATTTTAGGGGGGCGAAGCGTGCGAATCACTTAAAGAGCGCGCGAAGCGCGCTCCCTAGGGGGTGGGTGCAGGGGGGGGGGGAGTTTTGAAAGCTTTGAAAGAAGACGATTTGTTGTACCTTTATCGACTCATAACGCTTGTCTGAATTCAGTCCGCCCCTCCTGCGCATAGCGCGGAAGCTTTGACGTATTATTAGACAAAGAAGACGATTCGTTGTACCTTTCTCGACTCATAATCCTTATCTGAATTCAGTTTCCTCCCCTCCCTCGCAAAGCGCGGAAACTGTTAACTTTCATTAAATTATTAGAGAAAGAAGACGACTCAAAGTACCGTTCATGACCCTTAATCCTTGTCTAAATTCCCCCACCCCCTCTCGCTCGAAGCTTTGACGTTTCATTAAATTATTAGAGAAAGAAGACGATTCGTTGTACCGTTCTCGACTCCTTTTCCCTTTTTCTTCCTACGTCCTCTTACTTTTCTTCTTCTCTTTCTCTCTCTTTTTTTTTGGGGGGGGGGGGCGACCGCCCCCACCGCCCCCATCCCCTGGCTACGCGCCTGTTGTGGTTTAAGGAGAGCTAAAATGCATAATGGTACCCACTTCATTATTGCCCAAAACAAAAAACTCTAATAATACTATAGGCAGAATAAGGTACGGAATTTATGTGCAATGGTCTGAATAAAAGTGCTTTAATGGCAATGTATGGTTATCATTACAAAATAGTGCATGACATAACATCCAATCATGCACAGAACTCAATTGATCTACAATAGACCTGAAAGGTGTTTAGCACTTTTTTTTTTAAAACAAACAACGCACATATTTTCCTTTCATGATGTGATTATAATAATAATAATACCTCGTTCTCATATAGGGCTTTTCAGGACCGCATGCCCTCTCATATTCTCCACTCCCTGGGGAGCATTCCAGCCTTGCATCATTTCTACAAGCGCACACTTGCTAATCTAACCACATTAGCTTCATATGGAAATGTTGTATCATCCGCCTAAAGGTATAGACCAGTTCTGGTCATGCGATTGCATTGTGAAAGAAACGTTGTGGAATCGATCAGAAAAGGTTGATCATCTAGCATATAATTATTGGTGTGTCCTGCAAGGTTCTGGAATCATCAAATTGATAAGAAATTTGGCCCAGTCTTTGTAAAGTTACAAACACTGTATACAGAAAGATGTAAATGTGACTGCCCTATATCTATCCAGTCCAGATAGATATAATAAGTTACCAAATATATCAATTGGTAGGCGGTATTCCAGCAAAATTTGTATCATCACGTATTAGACAAAACATATTATTTCACATGATTGGTAATAGTAGCTTCCATGTTATTGTTTGAAATGGAAGCATTTCTAAAACTGGTCTTTACCTTTAAAGATAAACTTGAGTTCTGGTAAAAATTTAAAAAAATGAATTCTCACAGAATCAAACGAAACTTACACTGAATGTTCAAGATTACAAATAAATGTCATTTGCCTACCAATTTTGGTAGAAAATGTATACTGGTTGAGTAATGAGCATAAACAGATAAGGAAATCAAGGTTAGTAGCCCCGACACCATAAGTGTTTAGTCCCATATACATCTTTCTGTGTACAGTCCTTGTTACTTTACCAAGACTGGGTCAAATTTATTATGATGTTGATGACTCCAGAACCTTGCAGTACACACCAATACTTACATGCTACATGATCAACTTTTTCTGATCCCTTCCACACCTTTTCTTTCACAATGCAATCGCATGACCAGATATCCATTTTTTGATATATGTTTTCATACAATTATATATCTTTCCTTTCTTTCTTAATTCGATGTTTAACAATGCATCACTGTTAATATTAATACATATTGACAAATTTTTTGATATATGTTTTCATACAATTATATATCTTTCCTTTCTTTCTTAATTCGATGTTTAACAATGCATCACTGTTAATATTAATACATATTGACAAATTCATGTGTACCTCAATCCTACGATGCAGGTTACCGTTCTCATAAAAGCCTTCCGGGCAACCTAGGCTGTGACGGAGAATTTATTTCGTACCCAAGGGCATTACATCACGTTGACTTCTTTTCAACCGGCACTTCCATAAAGAAGACTTCGTAAAAATGTATTTTGCTAAGACATGCATTGTCCATGGCCTGCAATGCAACGAATAAATACTGTTGAATGGAAATAATTCACCATCATCATCTTCACCTCCATTACCGTGATCACCATGAACAGTAAAACAATGGACACATCATCGTCGTCGTCGTCGTTGATATCACAATTGCATATATCTCCAGTCAGATTAGGTTTTTCCTCAATGTAACCGATTACCATACCTAGTGGCATAATCAGAGTTAATATTTGCTTTCATTCAAGAGCAATTGAATTATTAAAGAATAGGAATCAGCGTCCTCCTCGCATAGTTAGTATTTTAATAATGTTCTAAAACACAAAAACCTGTTGTAAGATCGTCATTAGGGGGCAAAACTTCTTTTTTTTTACGAATTTTGTCATAATAATGTAAAATTTAGACTGTATGTCCTTTGGGCAAGACTATTTTAATCCTTGAAAATGTTTTTAGAAGAGAGAACTGTCTATATTAACGTTTAAAATCTTCATGTATCATGATCTGTTTTTTTTTTATTTTTTGGTTTTCGGTCAAAATTTTGAAGAAACACGATGGAGACGACTAGACATATTGGTGGACGTCGGAGGGTCTAGGCTCAGCATTAGGCTGAGTTGAGAAGCTTGTCACTACGTACCGTGTCCGAGTTGGTCCTTGGGCGTCCTATATAGCCGATAAGCCTTTTGCTCGCCAGCCACTGAATTCTTCATCATTAAATAAAAGTTTAGCTTTTAAAAATCCAATTTATCCAAATCTATATATCAAAAAAAGTAAATCTAATTTTAAAGGAATAAAAATCCTGAGAGAAGAGGCGTAAATATTCACTTCTGAATGAAAAACGCCTATAAATTAAAACAACAACAACAATGTGTCTACGTAGTTTCATGTAAATGTATGTCTCCGTGAAAAAAACACGAACATTTCCACCCTTTATTTCAGAAGGAAAAGAAGGAGGGGGTGCACTCGCTTTGTGTTTATTGAAATGTTGATGATTGCTAATTGTCGATGTAAAAGAAGAAAAAGAGAAGGAGATAAGCCTAACAATGGAATAGGAAAGACTGACTTTTGAATTACGTTGCATACTTGCATCACGATTTAGTACACTGCACAGGACTTTGGAACTTATGGAAAACTACAATAGGAAAGACTGACTTTTGAATTACGTGGCATACTTGCATCACGATTTAGTACACTGCACAGGACTTTGGAACTTATGGAAAACTACAAAACTGACAATTGCCCATAGCAATTCTGTTACGAAAGGTTTCAATTCGTAATAGTAACATTTCGAAGTCGAGCGTAATGAGAGCAGTAGTCAATTAAAAGAAACTGTACTAGCTTAGGATGTCTGATAAGCCGGTGCTTCTTCAAGTATGGAGGACATAGATAAACAGCTTCATGAGGCAGCATCGAGGGGTAAAATTAAAAGCGTACAAAAACTGCTAAAACAGGGTTCTAACATAAACCAGAAAGACAGACATGGAAACACACCCTTACACATGGCGGTCCAGAATGGACAGGAGAATGTAATTGAGTATCTCATAAATCATGGAGCTGATGTGGAGAAGGCGACTGCAGATGGACATACACCCTTACATCTTGCTGCATCACTCGGGCGTCTTAAAGCAACGAAATTTGTACTCTGCCATGGAGCTAATGTGGGCAGGGAAGACAAGGACGGCTTCTGCGCATTACACCTTGCTGCTCAGAAGGGTCATCTTGATGTCACCAAATATCTCATGATGCAAGGAGCGGAGGTGAATGCGGGAGATAATGATGGTAGGACTGCATTACATCTTGCTGCTCAGAATGGTCATCTCAATGTCACCACTTATCTTCTTATTCTAGGAGCAGAGGTGAATAAGGGGGATAATGTAGGTGCGACTGCATTACACAGTAGTGCTCAAAATGGTCATCTTGATATAACCAAATGTCTTACCATTCAAGGAGCGGAGGTAAATAAGGGAGAAAATGTAGGTGTTACTGCATTACACCGTAGTGCTCAGAATGGTCATCTTTATGTCACAAAATATCTGATCAGTCACGGAGCTAAGGTGAATAAAGGAGATAATGACCGTATGACTGCATTACATAGTGCTGCTAAGAATGGTCATCTTGAAGTCACCCAATATCTGATCAGTCAAGGAGCTCTGGTAAAACAGAAAAACAATTACGGTACGACTGCATTACACCTTGCTGCTCGGAAGGGTCATCTTGATGTCACCAAATATCTCATCATGCAAGGAGCGGAGGTGAATAAGGGAGATGATGGAGGTAAGACTGCATTACACATTGCCGTCCAGAATGGTCATCTTGATGTCTTCACATATCTGATCAGTCAAGGAGCTGAGGTAAATAACGGGGATAATAGCGATAAGACTGCATTACATTTTGCTGCTCAGAATGGTCTTCTTGATGTCACCAAATATCTCATCAGTCAAAGCGATGGGGTGGATAAGAGAGATGGTGGAGGTAAGACTGCATTACACATTGCTGTCCAGAAGGGTCATCTTGATGTCACCAAATATCTGATCAGTCAAGGAGCTGAGGCGAATAAGGGAGATGGTGGAGGTAAGACTGCATTACACATTGCTGTCCAGAATGGTCATCTTGATATCACCAAATATCTGATCAGTCAAGGAGCTAAGGTGAATAAAGGAGATAAATACCGTATGACTGCATTACATCTAGCTGCTCAGAATGGTCATCTCAACGTAACCACATATCTTCTCATTCAAGGAGCGGAGGTGAATAAGGGAGATAATGTTGGTGCTACTGCATTACACCGTAATGCTCAGAATGGTCGTCTTGATATCACAGAATATCTGATCAGTCAAGGAGCTAAGGTGAATGAGGGAGATATTGTAGGTGCGACTGCATTATACCGTAGTGCTCAAAAAGGTCATCTCGATATCACAGAATATCTGATCAGTCAAGGAGCTGAGGTGAATAAAGGAGATAATGACCGTATGACTGCATTACATAGTGCTGCTAAGAATGGTCATCTTGAAGTCACCAAATATCTGATCAGTCAAGGAGCTCTGGTAAAACAGACAAACGATAACGGTACGACTGCATTACACCTTGCTGCTCGGAATGGTCATCTTGATGTCATCAAATATCTCATCATGCAAGGAGCGGAGGTGAATAAGAGAGATGATGGAGGTAAGACTGCATTACACATTGCTGTCCAGAAGGGTCATCTTGATGTCACCAAATATCTGATCAGTCAAGGAGCTGAGGCGAATAAGGGAGATGATGGAGGTTGGACTGCATTATTCATTGCTGTCCAGAATGGTCATCTTTATGTCACCAAATATCTGATCAGTCAAGGAGCTGAGGCGAATAAGGGAGATGATGGAGGTAAGACTGCATTACACCTTGCTGTCCAGAATGGTCATCTTGATATCACCAAATATCTGATCAGTCAAGGAGCTGAGGCGAATAAGGGAGATGATGGAGGTAAGACTGCATTACACATTGCCGTCCAGAAGGGTCATCTTGATGTCACCAAATATCTGATCAGTCAAGGAGCTGAGGCGAATAAGGGAGATGATGGAGGTAAGACTGCATTACACATTGCCGTCCAGAAGGGTCATCTTGATGTCACCAAATATCTGATCAGTCAAGGAGCTGAGGCGAATAAGGGAGATGATGGAGGTAAGACTGCATTACACATTGCCGTCCAGAATGGTCATCTTTATGTCACCAAATATCTGATCAGTCAAGGAGCTGAGGCGAATAAGGGAGATGATGGAGGTAAGACTGCATTACACATTGCCGTCCAGAAGGGTCATCTTGATGTCACCAAATATCTGATCAGTCAAGGAGCTGAGGCGAATAAGGGAGATAATGACCGTATGACTGCATTACACTTTGCCGTCCAGAATGGTCATCTTGATGTCACCAAATATCTGATCAGTCAAGGAGCTAAGGTGAATAAAGGAGATAAATACCGTATGACTGCATTACATCTAGCTGCTCAGAATGGTCATCTCAACGTAACCACATATCTTCTCATTCAAGGAGCGGAGGTGAATAAGGGAGATAATGTTGGTGCTACTGCATTATACCGTAGTGCTCAGAATGGTCGTCTTGATATCACAGAATATCTGATCAGTCAAGGAGCTAATGTGAATGAGGGAGATATTGTAGGTGCGACTGCATTATACCGTAGTGCTCAGAAAGGTCATCTTGATATCACAAAATATCTGATCAGTCACGGAGCTAAGGTGAATAAAGGAGATAATGACCGTATGACTGCATTACATCTTGCTGCTCAGAATGGTCTTCTTGATGTCACCAAATATCTGATCAGTCAAGGAGCGGAGGCGAATAAGGGAGATGATGGAGGTAAGACTGCATTACACATTGCTGTCCAGAAGCGTCATCTTGATGTCACCAAATATCTGATCAGTCAAGGAGCTGAGGTGAATAAGAGAGATAATGGAGGTAGTACTGCATTACACATTGCTGTCCAGAAGGGTCATCTTGATGTCACCAAATATCTCGTTAGTCAAGGAGCTGAGGTGAATAAGGGAGATAATGGAGGTTGGACATCATTACACATTGCTGTCCAGAACGGTCATCTTGATGTCATCAAATATCTGATCACTGAAAGAGCCGAGGTGAATAAGGGTAACAGTGGAGGTTGGACTGCATTATTCATTGCTGCCCAGGATGGTCATCTTGATGTCACTAAATATCTGATCAGTCAAGGAGCTGAGGTGAATAGGAGAGATGATAAAGGTTGGACTCCATTACACAGTGCTGCTTTCATTGGTCGTCTTGATGTTACCAAATATCTTATCAGTCAAGGAGCTGAGATGATTAAGGAAGATGCTGCCGGTATGATTGCATTACACATTGCTGCTCAGGAGGGTCATCTTGATGTCACGAATTATCTCATTAGAAAAGGAGCTGAGGTGAATAAGGGAGATAATAGGGGCTGGACTGCATTACACATTGCTGCTCAGAAGGGTCATCGCGATGTCACCATATATCTTACAAGTCATGGAGCAGAGGTGAATACGGGTAATAATGACGGTTTGACTGCATTACACAGTGCCGCTTTTAGTTGTCAACTTGATGTCACCGAATATCTCATCAGCCAAGGAGCTGAGGTGAATAAAGGGGACAATGTTGGTGTTACTGTATTACACCTTGCTGCTCAGAATGGTCATCTTGATATCACAAAATATCTGATCAGTCAAGGAGCTGAGGCGAATGAGGGAGATAAAGGAGGTAGTACTGCATTATTCAGTGCTGCTCAGAATGGTCATCTTGATGTCACCAAATATCTCATCAGTCAAGGAGCTCAGGTGAATAAGGAAGATAATGATGGCTCGACACCTCTACACTATGCTGTACGGAATGGTTCCATTGATGTCATCAAATATCTTATCAGGCAAGGAGCTCATGTGAAAACGGGTAGTACATATGGTAGGACTGCGTTACAAGTTGCTGCTCAGGAGGGTCATCTAGATATCACCGAATTACTTATCAGTCATGGAGCAGAGGTGAATACGAGAGGGGATGATGGTAGGACTGCATTACAACATACTGCTGAGAATGGTCATCTTGATGTCACCGAATATCTGATCAGTCAAGGAGCTGAGGTGAATCAGGGAGGTAATGATGGTTGGACTGCATTACACAGTGCTGCTTACAATGGTCATCTTGATGTCACCAAATATCTCATCAGTCAAGGAGCTGAGGTGAATCAGGGAGGTAATGATGGTTGGACTGCATTACAAGTTGCTGCTCATAATGTTCATCTCGATATCACAAAATATCTCATCGGTCAAGGGGCTGAGGTGAATAAGGAAAGTAATGACGGTTGGACTGCACTACACAGTGCTGCTTACAATTGTCATCCCGATGTCACCAAATATCTCATCAGCCTAGGAGCTCAGGTGAATAAGGAAGATAATGATGGCTCGACACCTCTACACTATGCTGTACGGAATGGTTCCATTGATGTCGTTAAAGATCTTCTGGCAGGAGGAGCACTATATGACACACGAGACATTCGCGGGCAGACACCATTTCAACTGTCTTCCATTCTCGGGTTCGAAAACATCATTGATTTATTCATCGACATTTCCAAGTCGAAGGTATGCATTACAAATTGAAATCTCGATGTCAAATTCATACAACTCAATGTATTGATATACATGCATGGTGAATAAACAAATACTGAACTTAAATTTAGTAAATATTAGGCATATAAGACCCCTATTATTTTTTTCTTCTGACTTTACCAGCTTGAGTCTGACTTACTATCTTTTTATCATTTATCATACATATTTAAAATACCAGTTACACCTCAATGTTGTTATATAAACTTTATGGAAAGTTACAATGATTGCTTAAACCGTACTCTAATCATTGGATTTACTTAATCACCTGGTAGTACCTTTTATAGTTCATAGAAATTTGGCTTTACTAGCTTAGATAAATATTAATCTTCAAGTTCTCATGCTGTGTATTTTCTGATATCCATCTCGACCAGAATGATTTGAAGGATATCCATCTTGCCATACAACTTGCCATACAACACGGTCATACCTCCATCATTGAGAAGTTGGTTTCTGAGGGAGCAGATCTCAATATCCAGTCAACTGACGGTCAGACGTCTCTCCATAAAGCCATTAAACTCTGCAATAAGAGCGAGGAGATTATCCAAGGCACGGATACACTAAAAGACGTGAGTTGCACCTCAGTAACACTAACGAGACCGACACCAGACCAACGAGAGTCTGAACAACACATTCGATTTCCACAAACGGCAAAATTGTGGTCAGCTTTGGAGTCTACGTGGAGTCGTTATGGCGGTGTCACTGCCACGTACTGCTCATCTAGATCATTAGTGAATCCTAGAATCTGCTAGCCATGATTGGTCCAAGAAAATGTGTATGTAAGAGTATGGGCTCGTGTTGTGTGTGAGGGGGAAATTAACAACGTGATTTCCACTACTGTGAATCCAAGAGATAGCGATAACATATGCTTATGGTGCTCATCCACCATGACTATTGATGTGCGATATTGTTCTAAATAAAATAAAATTTATATATGTTTGTATGTTTTAGATCTCTGATGAGTATTACAAGGGCGAATTATCTCCTGAGAAGGCCTTGGTGTTTTATCTCCTTGAGAATGGAGCCAAGTTAGATGTGAAGGACAAGGCAGGCAACCTACCAATCCAGTATGCCAAGGATGAAGAGATCAAGCAAATGATTTTGTCTAGGTGATTCTTTCAGGTCTAATAACTTGTAAGACAAGAGATTTATCAAAACACAAGGGAATAATCAGTATTTCTATTTGCTCCTGTGAATTGGTAACGGGATATTTTCTGAAACAGAAAGTCCACTAAGCTTTAATGTAAATCTTAATTGTTGGTTATACAGTGCGTCCCAGAAAAAAACGAAACCGAGAAGTATCGATGTTTTATCATAACTTAATCACAACCATAATTAATGAATGATACATATTTGGAAAGCTTAGAGTCTCCTCCTTCAGTTGATGCTACTCACGTGATGCATATTTTACGCATGCGTGATTAACAGCAATTTGAAGGAAGGAAACCGAAAAGTAATTTGGCGGGCGGTATCTGAATTTCAAAGAAAAATTCATATTTCCAGAAAGTTCATTTTCTGCTCTTTCATATGATACCTCAATCAAGAACAATGAGCCAGGAATAACAAAGTTCTGTTTGTTTAAAGTAGCCCTTACATTTTCATAATTTTAACAAACGAATTCATTTTCACTGGGTGCCTGCCGTAGCAAAAAGCAGATTTGACAAAAGACTCAACTCCGTTTCGTTGACAATCAGCCGTAGACAAGAGTCTTCATGCATGGCTGATTGTCAACGAAACGGAGTTAAGTCTTTTTTTAATTTCGTTTATTAATACGACAGGCAGCCAGTGAAAACGAATTCGTTTATGGAAATGCAAGCACTACTTTAAACAAACAGAACTTTGTCATTCCTATCTCATTTTTCCTGATTGAGGTGTCATATGAAAGGGCAGAAACTCAACTTTCTAGAAATGTGAATTTTTCTTCGAAATCCAGATACGGCCCCGCCAAATGTCTTTTTGGTTTCCTTCCTTCAAATTATTTTTAATCACTCATGCGTGAAATATGCATTATCTGAGTAGCATCAACTGAAAGAGAAAACTCTAAGCTTTCCAAATATGTATCATTCATTAATTATAGTTTTGATTAAGTTATAAAAGAACATCGATACTTCTCGGTTTCGTTTTTTCTGGGACGCACTATATAGTGTATGTGTTGTTCGGACAATAACAATGTACACTATGTGACAACTGTGTCTGTCCTAGAATGACACGTTCTTGATTTAATTTAAGGACTTCGGGAAAACACTAAGGAAAGAAGATCTGGAAACCACCATGTTTTTCATCCGTCAGCAATTTTGCTCACTAACACAGCAGTTTGCTCACAGTTACAGCCGTTGATTTGAGGTTATCTAACTATTCCTTTAAGGATGTCCAATCAGCCGGTATCCAACACAGTTGTTGAATAAACCCCGGGGTACAAATGATGATCTAATCCATGACTGTGTCACAAGTCATCATTTATTGCAGCAACGTGTGCTTACCGTTTCATAACAATGACAGGTAATATGTTCCGGGCTATAAGTCAGGCCTACTAGGTCATCATCGGTTATTTTTCTTGGTTTTTCTACTCAGATAGACAGTTTACATTTTCTACCGAATGCGTTTGGAAGATATAATATCTAACTGTGGTTCTTGAATTGTTTTAATTTTGTTTCAAATGTATTTTACGGCATGACCCGGTGCAAGGGTATGTAGCCTACTATTTTATTCTTTTCATGTCTAATGCTAAGATTTGAGCATCATTTTTATTAAATGATAGGCCTCGATAAATGTCTGACATTCAACAGTTGTTCGATTTTTTCCTAATATCTTGTATACCGTTTTTTAACGAGTGGAAACAAATACATGTTTTCACAGCCCATAGAAATTAGTCTTTTTTTGTTTACGTATGATTAATTTCAGATTAACTTCTTTAGAGGAGATCCAGTCGTATCGAGGTAAGAACATTTTCAAACACAACAAGTTTTTCACAGTATAACAGCTAATTAAGAGACTCGGATATCTTTTTCCTTATCCACTTAGTCACATATTAATGTCTAGCGATGGTTAAACCTAGCGTTTAGGTTTTAAATCACGCAGAACAAGGGATTTTATCATTCATTGTCCGGGTATTTTACTTAATCGCACAAAAATGTACCCACTTATCCCTAAGGCCCGGTCACACATAGACGGCGCATGGCCAGCGCATTGAACATTGGAAAAGGTCGTGCGCTCGACTTTTGTCAGGATTCGGGAGAAGCTAGCGAGCTGACACCGATTGTTTAGCGTGTTGCTAGTGCGCAACGCGTATAAAGGGCGTGAGCTCCACGTATGTCTGGCGTTGGTCTAGCGCGCTCTGCGCCGGTCTGGCGTCATTTTGGCGTTTACATTCATGCGTCGAGCTCCGCGCACACTTTTGAGCATGCACAAAAACTCCCGATGCACACAGCGAATGACGACGAATGCATATCGTTGGTCCAGCGTTGGCCCAGCGCACTCGACGAACGAGTAACGGAGGATGACGCACACCTTACGCGCGACAACGCCCTGGCAAAAATTGTAAATTTTCAATGCGCGGGCCGTGCGTCCACCATATGCGTCCCTTATGCGTGACCGGGCCTTTTTATGCATTCGTCGTCATTCGCTGTGTTCGTCGGGACTTGCTCAAAAATTGTGCGCGGAGCTCGACGCATGAATTTAAACGCCAACAAGACGCCAGACATGCGCAGAGCGCACTAGACCAACGCCGGACATCCGCCGAGCACACGCCCTGTGTACACGCAGCGCACTAGCAACATACTAGACACTCGGTGTCAGCTTGCTAGCTTCTCCCAAATCCTGGCAAAAGTCGGTCGCACGACCTTTTTCCGATTTGCAATGCGCTGGCCGTGCGTCCCCCATGCGTCCCCTATGTGTGACCGGGCCTTAACATATCATTCGTATTCACGTATGAAGAACCACCTCTTAGGTTTACATCATTGGGCTAAATACGAGATAAACTGGGAATGTGCCCAAAATGGAAGATGAATTGGAAAAACGGATACGTATATTACCAGAAACCAGTATTGAAAATCAAAGTTTGGGTAAAAACCTTAATAAAGTCATTTCGTTTTCTGGACAATATTGAAATGCAAACTATATTAATATGTTATTGGCTTTTCATTTTAATGATTATCCTGATGTGCGTATGAATTTACCGTGTTTTTATATATGTACTTACAGTCGTGCCATTTCCTTTTGTTTTAAATGAACAACAGCTGAACCATCAAGACCTGCCATTGTCTCTGTTGAAGTCGAAAGGAACACAAGTACGGAAATTGAACTAGAAGACCATGGCGTATCAATGTTAATTCCTCCGGAGGCTGTTCAACAGAATGACCCGTGCAAGATCACGCTGACCCTCTTAAGAGACCGTCCCAGTGTTGACATCCAAGATGATGAATCAATGGCCTGCTACGGGATCAGATGTGATCCTTCAGACATGATCTTCCACAAACCTGTTAAGATAATGATACCACACTCTACCTTGGCCATCAACCCTGATCAAGTGAAACCATACATCGTGTCCCATGTATGGGATTCAGTAAACGGTAAGTCCGTTTTTTAATGTTAGACTTAACGAAAATTGATGCCCTGAGATCCCTTTCCAGCGAACCAGGCAAAGCACTTTCGGGACAACACTGAGGAGTTGCGATATGGCTAAGTGGTAGAGATTGGTCTCGTAACTAGTAGGTCTTCGGTTCAAAAACCAATTCGATGTGGTAGTGCCATTTGGTAAGACATGAATTACCAAGTGGACTTAAGAGGACTTAAAGATGTTTGTCTCCTTGTTCTTTGTTAACGAGTATACTGCTTTCCTAGTAGTCGGTTAAAATAAACAATTAACTCTCAGTATACTATGCCCTGTTTTGTTCTACGTTTCTATTACAGGTAATAGAAAGCAAAAAAGATCATATGCATACTATAGCTTGACTCTTAAATCCTAATTTTTGATTGATGTGGACATAGAACGCTTTCTAAGTAATCTCAGTTCTAGGTATCGTAGCTATTACAGCGCCATAACGTCATGAGGAACAATTTATAACTTCCATTTTCAATAAAGGGAAACTAGGTAAAGGGAATAGTTGTTACTTGTAAGGATGGTTTATTGAACTTAAAACCTTTTGAAGTAATAATAATCCACAAGGACACCATCACTGATAAAAAAAATCTTTGGTGTTACCATAATCAGGTGCAACAGTTTAAAGGACCAATTGGCTCCATTGCGGAATAAAATATCTAAAAACAAATGCATTTTGTCTTGTTACCCACTGGCAATAGATCTACCAAGAACATCAAGAATGAGATCATCCAACTCACCAGACGAACCACCATACTGCAGATTGTACGAGACACGTCTTGAGCTGTACATTGGTCACTGTGCTGAGTGGTGGGTTCTTATTCCTCTTGAACAGCAGCTGATCCGACACCAACTCATGTGCACTCCATACATCCCAGAAACTGTAGAAAGAGGCAAAGAGATTGAAGTTCATCTTCATGTGCATGCCGATGTTCCTGGCATGGTTGCGGTTAGTACCGTTAACGTGTAATAGTAAACTGTTAAAATACAATTCTATTAAAACTGTGAACTACTGCAAATTTCTGGAAGTTCATAAAGTAGAAATAAAATCCGACTTCCTGGGGTAATTATGTGCAAGCTTGCTTACACCAGATTTCATGGGATTTTCTTGGAAGTGCGATTAAAATTGCTGTACGTCATTACAAATATCTTGAGTCCTACTTTCATTCAAAATTACTCCGAACATGGCCTATATGCAAAAGCCTATACAATGCTGGTAACAAGCTGAATGTTCTCGGATAATACCAGTATGATGTACGGAATGACATGCTAAGGTCCTCATAATATATAGTATTATATTGGCTCCTTTTCTCCATCTCTCTCTCTCTCTTTTTTCTCTCTCTCTCTCTCTCTCTCACATCTCTCTCTTTCTCTCTCTTTCTCTCGCTCTTTCTCACTCTCTCTCTTTCTCTCTCTTTCTCCTTTTCTCTCTCTCTATCTCCCTCTCTCTCTGTTATGCCTCTTGTTCGCAATCACACTAGCTGCCTATTCAATATAGTTATAACTAATGTTTACC